TTAGCATGCCAAATATTTCACGGGCGTCGGCGACGTGTCGGCGATTCCCTCAGATCGCGTCTTTGATAATTCACACTGCGTGATTGTCACTCGCGTGAACGAGCACCGATTTGCCTCCGATGTCGGGCATTTGTCGGCGATTTCACAAAACCTGTCGGCGAGTGAAAAATCGGGCTAATATCGTGAAGTGTGAACTCGGCATAAGACTTCTCTCTATTCCTTAGTACAAGTTTGTCTCAGCAGCTTTGTGAACAGCTTTTAAGCGAAAACTCTTAGCTAAAACTTTGACTGCTATTTAGGAGAACTCTTCGTGGTAAGATCAAATGTTTTGTGAATACGGGCCCAGGTGTGTTTGATTAGGGTTGGATACCTCTGATCTAGTTAATTAGCTGTATTCTGACTCGTGTACGATATTTTTCTTCCAAATATGATAGTTTTGAACTTCAAGTACGATACTTGGGGTGTATTCACACCAGGAAAGAATATTGGTCTGAACCAAATACAATGTTGATTTTTTGGGGGGTTTTTGTTTGGTGCGGTTCGCTTTCACACTGCCCTTTTTGCAAGTGAACCAGAAACTGTAAACAAAACCACATGTGTGCTTAAGGTCATCCATTCATTGGTTCATCCATTCAACCGTACCAGAGTTCGTTTGGAAGCGGACCGAGACCACCTCTTCAGCTGTGACTCGGTACAGTTGTTAGGTCCACACCAGAGTGCGATTGCTGTATTCACACCTGCCCAAAAGATCCGCACCAAAGGGGACAACGAACTTGAGTTTGATTCAATCTAACCAAACAAGACAGGTGTGAATACACCCTTAAACAAACGTTTTAGACTTCAGTTCAACTCGTTAGAGACTCCTCCTGAATATTTCAAATATTTTACAATGCATATTCCGGACTTTTGTTGCTCAGCAACTTCTGGATGAGTTTGAGTTTTCCGTCCCTCGCCGCGTTAAACACCGCGGTGCTGATATCCATCGCGTCGCCGCGGGGCGTCTTCAAGTGTCCGTCAAAGCCCGTCTGTGTTCGCGAGCGTGAGAAGCGCGCGTCGCTTCTTATTCGGTGAGGAACGATCCCCGCGCTGCATTATACTGCCATTTTAAGGCTCTTGTCGAAATGGCGTCGATGTTGTTTGACAGCTGTTTACCAGTGATGCGCGGAACGCTGGGTAATGGAGTCCGTGCGTCCTGTCAGCGCACAGCGCCAGCCGCGCAAAGAACTACATTAACCTCCGGCGTCGCGAGCGCCGGACAAACTCGTCGCGCGAAGGCTTGTGGGAAATGTAGTCCATACACATAGCGCTTACTCGTGTGAGCCGGTGTTGCGGCGACTTCACGGAACTACATTGCCCGTCATGCACTGCGCGAAACTTTGGCAGCTTGATGTAAACACGGAATGTATGAGCAACTCGTCTGGCATGTGTGAAGTCACGGTGATCTTTTACTGTACCAAGAACATATTTAAATGCTTTTCGAAATATGTCTGTTTATAATTTACTAGTGTCACACACCCAAAACTGAGTAAAGTGCTTCGTGGTTTAATTATTTTTGACATAGACCGGCTGTCACCGAAGCGAACTTTATTGATAACTATATTCATGTTATTTTGAATAACATGAATATATTTTGTAT